ACCGTCCAACACAACCCACTGGCGACACGACCCCTGGGAACACCCAGCCGCCTCGGATTCCAACAGACTCTGCGACGGTCAGTCGCCTCCACCGGGAAGAGTGTGAAGATAGTCGCGAGTCGCAGGAGGAAGGGGAGCCCACCGCTGTGAAGGATACCATCGAGGAGACCATCGAGCAGCCTTCCCCTGACGAGCGGGACAACGAAGCCATCCTACAGCTGGTTTCGAGGAACCCTTTCGCCCCTATTCGTTCTCCCTCCCCTGCCAGCGACTCGATACGGGCGGGCGCTTCTATAAGCAGCCACGCGGCACCCCCTGCACCTCTGCAAAGCACGCCATGCCCCCCCGCTCGGGTGGGGGCGTGAGCTCGACTGCCGAGACGGGCTGGCAGCCCAACTGGGCGGCATCCTTGACGCGTCGGACGGCAAGTGGGTGGACGCCCAGGCTGTTCGCCGATCGTCAGCATCCAGGACCACGGGACTCCCACACACTGGAAGGCCGCTCTATAGAGCCCGGGCCCACGACTCCCAGTGGGAACCCCGCGGAGTGTCACCAAACGATCTGATCAGGTACCTTCAGGTCACCCTGGGTGCGTCGTTCACAGCCGTCTGGCACGCCTTTGCCGCGCAACGCGCTGCCCCTTGCGCCGCGCGCGCGTTCGACCCTCGTCGGCACGACCAGCGAACCTGCGTCGCCTTCCCCACCTCATTTCACAGTCACAGCTGCGATGCTCGGGCCATGAGCGACTCAGTGGGCCTGGGTATCGACTGTGCGCAGGTGCGTGGACAACACCTTGGACATCACGTCGGCGCGAACAGGGGGCGCCAGGCACCCCCGCGAGATGCTCGGGATCTCGTGGGCGCCGGCGCTGGCCGCGCGCAGTAGGGTGGGAGTGCTCTGGGCGCGGCTGGGAGGAGGAGCCGAGCAACCGAGAGCCCATGGACCGAGAAACGGTCTCGACAGTAACACCGAGTGTGGGGCACCACCCAGTTTCGCTGAGATGCGGTTTTGACAACACACTGGGTATGTGGACTGGCAGCCCACCGTGATTGTCCCTGTCAGCATCAACTGCTCGAGTATAAATTTACTCTCCCTCCTCTCACACCGTGTGCCTGGCGTGCACTTCCTTCCCTCCCCTCCTACATCCACATGCTGCAGCGGTTAGCTACCACACCGGGGTGCCTTCCGTGCCTGGCGTGCACTTCCCCTCCTCTCCTCCTGCTGCCTTGTTCCTTTCCTCTCCTCCTGCATCCTATTGCTGCAGCAGTTAGCTGCCACGCTGGGGTGCCTACCCTGCCTGGCGTGCACTTCCCCTCCTCTCCTTTGTTTCACTGGGTTTATCCCGCGCGGCTGGGGTTGCCGCCGATGCTGTTGTCTGGTGGTGCTCTGACAGCCAGAATTTCATGCAAGGTTCACTGGGGATGGGATGTCAGGTGGCCCCTGGCCTGCTCCTGGCTGGTGTCGGCCCCCACTGGTGCCCGATGCTACGAATTCCATGCATGGGTTACACTGGGAATGGGCGGTCAGGTGGCCCTTGGCCTGCTCCTGACTGGTGTCGGTCTCCACTGGTGACCGAACGGGTTCAGTGGGGTCTCGCCGGCTGCCGACCTCCACGGTGCTAGGACTTCGGCATGTGTGGCTCGGTGCGCCCGTCGGCAGCTGTCTCCTGCAAGGACTTCGCTTTCGACATGTGCCACTGCTGTACAAACAAGAGGTACTGCCGTTTGCAGTCCTATCTGTGACGAGGTTGCCCCTCATCACTCTTGCGCTGACGCGATGCAGCTGTGTCGCCTACGGCGCGGACGTTGTCCTGGTGTGCTTGTCGGTCCTGCTCGTCTCTGACGGTGCCTTGTGCCGATTCACACCGAGTGATTGACCTCTGAATGTTGATGTTCGCGCCGCCGCGCCATTTTGGCTGCGCTTACTTGCTGGTCGCCACCGGGATCTCCACGCCACTGTGTTGTGAGTTTCGTTTCTGGCTCTTCTTCTGAGTGGCTGCCCGCACGCTCGCTTCGCTTGCCTCTCTTTTCTTGCTGCCTAGTCGCGGCCCGACTCGTGCTCGGACGGCTTTCGACCTGCTTCGTGAGCCCGCAGACCAAAAATAGTCCCCACCAACCCATCCAGAAACGATACCCAGAGGAATTGCCTCGATCATGGAAGTGGGCAGCGCACAGAGGAAGCCATTATGCGACATCTTGGCATATCTTGAGCCATCTTGGAGGTAATTTTGGGCTCGCCCAGGCGCTCTTGGAGTCATCTTAATCAGCGCCCCCCCCAAGAGGCCAACATGTGGTTAAAACCTTCGTAGAACCAATGATTTGGCATTCTCGCCGAGGCCTCTTGGAATCATCTTAATCAGTGCCCCCCCAAGAGGCCAACATGTGGTTAAAACCTTCGTAGAACCAATGATTTGGCATTCTCGCCGAGGCCTCTTGGAGCATCTTGGGTGCCTCTGGGGGGTCTCTTGGGGCCTCTTGGGGGTCTCTTGGGAGCCTCTTGG